CCCCGGCGGCGTGGAGCGGGGCCGGAAGCCCTCGGCTCCGGGCCGCGTGTTGACAGCGAAGTCCCCGGCACCCGCGCCTGTTATCTGCAGCCGGGAAGGGCCGGGAACCCACCCGACATCCCAGCAGCCGGCAGGCAGCCCTCCCGGCTGTGATTTCTCTGGCACAGCATTGTTCTTCGTGCTTGTGTAATCATTGCGCACGGGAGGTCCTCTCTTTCTTGGACTTTGTAGCAGTTTGCAGTCATGGGGCGCTTTGTATAAACAGTGTCGAGCAGCGCCCGGCCCCGGGCGGGTTCTCGTTGACAGGGGTGAGGTTGCTTCTGATTGGTTTCGGTTTAGTTTCCTCCCCCCGTGTCGGCACAGACCCCCCTACCCGATGTCCCCAAAGCCACAGAAGGAAGTGTAAAAGAGAGCGGGGCCCCGGCCGGCGTGGCTCAGAGGGCTGGGCATCGTCCTGCAAGCCGAAAGGCCGTGGGTTCGATTCCCAGCCGGGGCCCGGGCCTGGGTGAAGGGTTGCGTCCCCGGTTGGCGCACGTGTGACAGGCAGCCGGTCAATGTTTCCCTCTCCAGTCTCCCTCCCCTCCCTCTCCCTGCATCAGTAAAAATAAGCAAGTAAGTAAATGGGGGTCCACCTCCAGGAATTCTCGTTTCCTTTCTGCCACAAAGCAAACGTAACAACGACGCCAACAGCGACGACGGGACTTCGTCTGTGACGGCTCTGAAGAAACTTTGTGTCTCGTTCTAAGTACTCTGTTCCGAGGTTCCCGGCGGGAGCCACTCGAGGAAGCGCCCCCAAGTGTCCTTGTCGCACAGCAGCCGCCGAGGGACGCCCCTCTGGGAGCCCCTCTGGGAGCCCCCAGAGCCTCCCGGGAAGGGAACCGAGGAGAGCGCGGTGGCCCCCGGGGACCGCGGTGGCGGCGGCAGCAGGTGGCACCGCCCGCTGTCTCCTGCCCTTGAAGGCGGCGGCCGGGTCCCGGTCCCCGGTTTTGCGACAAGGTTCTCGCCCACGGCCTGGCACGCCCAGCCCAGCGCGCGGCAGGTTTCAGGAACAGGTGCGGGTCCACTTTAAACGCCCCTCGAGCGCGTCTGGAGAACGCCGTCCTGCACGTCTCTCTCCGGAAGCGTCACCGCAGACGACCATCACGCCCCCTCCCAACGCCCAGCAAGACCGCATCCTGCCGGCCCGGCTGCTGGGCGGTGGGACGGGGAGGTAGGGGGCGGCCAAAAGGCTGTGACAAGTTAAACGGGGGCTTGAGAAAGATCCACACATTTTTCTTCCTGGACTGTTTGCCCACTGGCCCGTTCTTATGAGAAAGCACAGGTTTCTAATGATTAACCTCCTGGGCTGTGGGAGCTGGGCTCCGCAACAATGCGGGGCTTGTGCTCCCCTCCACGCCGGTCACAGCGTCAGAATAAATAGCTTCCCCGGTGAGTAACCAGGCTCCGAGATAAGCCTGCCTTTTATGACAGCTGATAACCCAGGACTGTACGGGCTGGCAGCTGCCGAGTTCTGCTGAGGTGCATGCCATCGGTCGTCCCCCCCCCAATGGCCCCTTTCAGATTGTTTACTGACGGCACTGGCAGGTGAAAAATCTGCTCCAAAATCCAGATGATCTTCCTCCTGTGCCCCCACCCCGACTCTGATTTCCAAGGAAAAAGTACCTTCTAAAGCACCAACCTTTCTTATCTCGAGATAAGGAACGAGTCAGCCATCACACCGACCCCGTCCTTTTGTTCAGAGCTGCACCCAAACTAGGTCACCCACAGCCCTGCAGAGCTGTGTCCCTGCCAGGGTCCAGAGAACAGAAAGCGTGACGTCGTGGATTATGGAAAACAAGGAGGCAGAAAGTTGGCTGGGGAAACCGCCTCGGAGGGAGGCGAGGTGGGAATCGGTGGCTCGGGAGGGCGTTGAAAGCACAGTCCGTCAGGAAGGCGTCACCGAGGGCCCAAGAAGGTGGGTGCAGACCGGTGGCCGTGCGGAGGGGCCCGTGCGCGGGACAGCCCTCACAGGGCCTCCCCCAGCCGCAGCCACGGGCAGCTGCTGGCTCAGCCGGGGGCTCAGGGCCGGAGGCGCTCGGGGAGGAGAACTGAGAAACGTGCAGAACTGAGGGCCGTTCCACCGCCCAGCCCATCACCACCACGCACGCTCTTGCAAGATGCACCGTTTTTGCCCGGTGCCAGGGCAGGCCCGGCACAAGGGACAGCTCGGTCCTCCGGCCCTGTCCCCCCCCCGGGATGCAGACAGGTGGCCGGGCTCCCACAGGACCTGTGCAAACGGGGTCGTCACGGAGACCCTCCAGCCGGGAGATGCCGAGAAGAGTGAGGACAGACCCCACCAAGCACAGCACCGGACACCGGGCACCAAGGGCAGGAAGCAGATGCCCGCCCGAGGCCGCCACCTCCGGACGTGGGCAGAGGGGCCGCACGGCGTCGGCCCCCAATGAGGAGCCAGAGGCTTCAGGGGAGCGGAACCTTCCCTCCCTCCGGACAACGGGTCGGCCTCCCTCTCTCCAAACAGCCGGGAACGGGGACCGAACACCAGACACCCCACTCCTGTTCCGAACGGGACACCGAACCACGTCCTCCTTTGCAGATAGATACAGGCGCAGCACCCCCACAGAGCAGGCGGCCAGGAGACGTCAGTTCCTACCTTGCAGTCGGAAGGACCCGCGTCCCGGGGCGCGTGAAGGCCAGGGGCCACCGGGGGCCACGGCGGGGGGGGGGCCTGCCACCAGGCGCCCCCAGCCCTGGCGCTCGCCTTCCCCGCCCGTGTGGCCGGGGTGACTCTGGGCTCCTTCGCCCCCCGCCTGCACAGAGGAAGCCAGACGCGCCCTCGCTGCATGAGAACAGCTCCTGAACTTGCGTGCCCCCGCGTGCCCCCACATGCATCCCCCAGGCCTCTCCTCTGCCCCCCCAGCTTGAGATTATCCGCGACACTGACGCGCACGGTACCTGTTTCTGGGGAGACAATCGCACAGCACGGCGTGGTCGGCCTCCGGAAAGAGAGCCTCGGACGTCACTGAAGCTTCACGCGCGTCACGGGAGAAAACGTGTCTCGTGGGGCCGAGCGGCCACCCCCCTCCGCCGGGTCCACACACTTCAGGTGCGACGCCGGGGGTGGGGGGTGTCGGCTGTGCGGAGAGCACCGGGGCACCCCCCGGAGCCCAGCGCTTCGGTCTGAGAGCTCCCCGAGCCCCTGGGGCGGCCGGGCCCCGCGCCCGCCGCTCTGGGGTGCGGCCTGGAGGTCGCGAGGACTCGGGCCGCAGCTCCTGGAGCCGCCGTTTGCTGACCAGGCTTGGGCGGGTGTCTGCTGCCACCGCTGGCTGCCCGAGTCCCACGGGCGACACCACACGCGTGTCCCCCCTGGGGACTTTCCCTGGAAACAGAGAGCTGTGGCTGGTGCCGACTGGCATCCCCGAGTGGTGTCGTCCCCACCGTCCTGGGGACGGCAGGGAGCCCAGGCCGGCACTCGCACGTCTGTCGCTCAGCGGAGGGACCTCTGTGGGTGGGAACGGACCGGCTGGCAGAGAGCCCAGCGCCTCCCGATCCCGATCTCGGGGCCTGGCTGCCGCTCCGACCGCCACGGTCGCCTTTACGCAGGCGTCGGACGGGGCGGGTCGGGACGGGCTCTGCCGCCCACCATCACGCCCCTGCCCTGTGGCGAGCACCGTCCCTTGCGTTCTGGCGGAGGGTCGGGCTCAGAGACGGCAGGGGCCCGCCGGCCCTCGCAGGCGGCGGTCGGACCGTTGTGCCTCGAGTCCCTGTCACAGCTCGGAGCTCGGGGCGGGGGACCGCGGTCCCCGGGGCCCGGACCCGTGGACACGGCCGCAGGGTCGTGTTGCTGCTGACGCATGAGGGGAACCTTCCTGAGAACCGTCAGCCTCATCCCGAGGGCCTCGGCGTGGCCGCTTCCACGAGTACGTGTCAAAGTGAGTTAGGTTCGCTCGGTTCCTAAAATCCCAGCGCCTCCCCAGGTGACCTGGACAGAGCCTGGTGCCTGTGTGGAGGCGGCACCGGGGCAGCCCCGCCGACCCTCTCTGGGACCCCAGGGCACCGGGTCTGCCCACTGCAAAGGCAGGTCCCGGGAGTCCAGTCCGAAGCACCGCACGGGGGTGCTGCCGCCGCACCGATGCCGGGCGCCGTGTTCGCCCACGGCGCACGTCTAATCAGGGCCACCACCTCTGAGACACAGCGGCCTGTGGCTGGGCAGGCTCCACAGCACGGAGTCACCCGTGGCCTGTCGCCGTGGCGATGGCGATCACAGACCTGTGGGCGGTCCCTCAGGTGTGCTTTTGTCACGGACACATGCGGTCCCCTGCGGGGTGAGGTGGAGGGCAGGTGGAAGGGCCGCCGGGCGCCGCCCGATTTTCAGACGCGGAGAGTGAACTCGAGAGCTTGTGCGGGACAACTGTCCGGGCCCGAAGCGCCGGCCGGGCAGCCGCAGGGCCACCCTGCTCCGCGCAGGGTCTGGCGCAACCCCGACACTCGGTCGGTTTTGCAGGCAGCGGCAGGGCGCCCCCCCCCCCGCCCCGAAGCCCCTGGGGCTGGGAGGCTCGTGTCCTCTGTGTAGATCCCCCCTGTGGGCAGCCCGCGGGTGTCCGCTTCGGTTCCGTGAGCCAGCCTCCGGACGCGTGAGCACGAGTGACCCGGGGTCGTTCCACAGGGGTCGCGGAGGACGGGCGCCTGCACCCCCGTCAGCCGGCTCTGCCAGCCCCGCTCACGTCAGGCAGCTGCCCGGCGTCCTGGGCGCCTCCCCCCAGCGGCTCGCCGGCTGTGAATGCTTAGCGCTAAGTACTTCTGGGGGGACAGAAAACTGCACACCTAGATGAAAATGAAAAGTGCTGATTTTCAGGAGCCACGCTGTAAACTCTGAGCACCCCTGTTTGGGGGCCGTGGGTGGGGCCCCCCGGCTTTTCGGGGGCCGGCTCGCTGGTGCACAGAACCGTGCGGAACCGACGGCGTGGGGACGTAACCTGTGGGTGCTCCTGTCCCTGCTGCAGGTGGACGACCAGATGAAGCTGCTGCAGAACTGCTGGAGCGAGCTCCTGATCCTCGACCACGTCTACCGCCAGGTGGTCCACGGGAAGGAGGGGTGCATCTTCCTGGTTACCGGGCAGCAAGTGAGTGCCGAGACCCACAGTGTCTCTTTATTAAGCTTGTTCAGAGCGGCGGGGACGTGACTGGGTCAGAAGGGCTCTTGTGCTCCGAACGGCGAGGCTGGCCGCAGGTCACGGACAGAGCTGACCGGCGCCCGGTGTTCCTGCCCCCGCGGTCACGGCTGACCTTGACCGAGCAGACGGACTCTCAGAGACGCGGCCGTGACCGGGCCGCCGGGCTGCCGGGCTGCCTGCGAAGGGTCAAAACGACCTCTGAGCCACAGTCAACGATGAGACCCGGGGCGGTTTCCTCGAGCTGCTGCTGCCCGTTTGTGTGTCGGCGACTAGAAGCCCTCGTCGCCTGTGGAGCCCTGAAGACTCGGGGGCCACACAGGCGGAAGGGGCGGGCTCAGAGGCCACACGTAATCTGCGTGGTCGGCGTGGAGGCAGGGGGTGAGGAGGATCAGGAGGCTTTCTCGTCTGTCGAGAACGGGGGCCATTCAACAGGAGGATGGAAGGAAGAAATCACTTCTGGTTCCTACTCCCTTTTCTTTTTTTAAAAGATTTATTTGTTTTTAGGGAGGGAAAGGAGGGAAAGAGAGAGAGAGAGAGAGAGAGAGAGAGAGAGAGAGAGAGACATCCATGTGCGGTTGCTGGGGGCCATGGCCTGCAACCCAGGCATGTGCCCTGGCTGGGAATCAAACCTGCGATGCTTTGGTTCGCAGCCCGCACTCCATCCACTGAGCTACGCCAGGCAGGGCACTCCTTTTTCAACAGATCCTCGCTCTGGCGACAACTGTTCATGGAGCGCACTGTTCTGGGGCTCCGGCACGTGTCCGTGGGCGAAACAGGAAGGACGGGTGCCCTCGTGGGAGTCAGGGTTGGCGCGGGGAGCAGTGGGCAATGAGTAATCCCCCTAAATGGGCGCCCACCGCCGCAGAGGCCGGGGTGCTGCTGAAGAGGGTAGAAAGGGACGTCGGCTCGCATCCGGGACCCGAGGGTGCCACGTCACATGCAGTGGGCTGGGTGGGTGTCCGGGGCAGAGGACATTGGCTCCTGGGGAACCCCCACCCCGTTCCACCCGCACGGGACCGGGCCGTGCCCTCATACTTCTGACCCTCCATCCTGTAACTGAGCTCTCACCAAAACGGACGCGTGGGACACCGGGGTCCCGTCAGTGGGTGGCACTGTCCCCGCTCGGGCGTTGCCGCGTGGTCAGCCTCGCTTCGGCCGTCCTGCATCCGGCAGCAGCAGGGACGGCGGACGTGAGCGTGCCGCGGAACTCGGGGGGGTGAGAGGCTGTCTCCACGCCGTCCACTGCTGCTGGACGCGCCGTGTTTCCCCAACCAGATGCAAGGCAAGCGCTGGCCCGGAGGTTTGGCAAACTGGGTCCGTTCGAGCCTCCTCACGGCTGCCGGCCCCTGCCTCCCAGGTCTGTCCTGGGAAACGCCGCTGGGTTGGGGAGCAGAGCCGCCGTGGCCTGCCCGCCTGGGCTTCCCGGGGTTCGCTGGCCTGGCGCCCCCGCCCCCGCCCCGCGTCTCGGCGGGGAGTGTACCCACGTCGGGAGCCTCGTCGCCCGCTCTGCCTCCCAGCCCCCTCACCTCGCCGAGCTCGGGGCTGCATTAGGAGAAGCGCAGGCCTCAGCCCGCAAATTAACGTGATTTCATTTCCGTCCGGGCCTCGGGAACCAAATGGGCTCTGCCATTCTCTCCCAGAGCACTTCCATTCCGGCTCTTTAGAAATATTCCTTATTTCACATTTCATTTTCCCTTAAGTGCTGCCCCTGGGCAGACGTAATTACCGTTTAAAAAGTAGAGAAAGTGCATTTCTTGTCTTTCTGTTCAAACCCAAGAACAGTCCGGGCACAGATGCTATTTGCGGTCTTCTGCGTCGGCCACTGCCGCCCGGGGCTCTGCCCCCACCGCTGGGGGGGGGGCGGGGTCACCGCCTCCCACTGCCCCTGCCGCCTGATCGTCCAGGTCTCCTCTCCCACCACACTTTTTAAAATTATAGTTGACGTTAAAGGTTACATTAGTGGCAGGTGCAGCACGGGGACCTGGTTCCAGGTACCTCACGACGTGACCACCTGCGTGCGTCCAGCACGCGTCCGGCACGCCACCTCCTAGCCCGTGCGGTGTTCTTGACTGAGCGCACACGCCCTGTCCGAGAGAGCCGCGTCTCCGCCGACGCCCCGCCTACCCTTTCCCGCCTGGTCCAGGGGGAGAGCCCAACCGGGATTCCGTCCACCAGGCGGCCCGCTTACGGAAACGCCGAAGCAACTCCCGTCTTTCGTGGAACAAGCTCGATGAAACAGGGTGAATGCACCTCTGGGCTTCCTGCGGCTTCTGAAGGTGGAAATGACACAGGGAGACGTTTGCCACGGCGCGGGAGCTCCCCACCAGGAGGAGGAAGGAACTTGAACCCAGTGCTGGACGCCTTTCGTGTCTCTGCGACACCTGTGTGACGCCGAAGGTGCCGGGCACGGGACAAGCACGAGCTGGGTGGACTGACCCGGAACTAACTAGACGTGTCCCGAACCTAATTGCTCAATGAAAACAATTACCTTGGACTCAAGGCCCAGAGGGCCCGCCCCCACCCCTCGTCCCGCCCACCTGCCACTTCCGGCTCCTTCTCGTGCGGCCGAGACACCCCCACGCTCCTGCAGCCATGAATCCCCTAGGAAAACGGGGGGGGGGGTCTTTCATAATGCCGCCCCCCCCAGATCAGCCATTTCTGTTGGGTTCTCTCTCAGTCTTTAGAGTAAACATGCTAAGTGGGGGGGGGGTCTTACTTTCCTAAATAAAATAACCCATCTGCCACAGGGGCATGCCGACCCCCCCCCCGGTCTAAATTCGAGCAGAGAGCTTTGAAACGACGACAGAAGCCTGTTTCTGTGAGGCGTCGTGTGAAATCAGCTCAGCGCCGTCACAGGGGAAGCTAAACGGCATTATTTCAGAGAAGCACGCAAAACACCCGAACACCCACCAATAACCGACAGGGCAGGCGTAACTTCCCCACGTGGTTTAGGCTGTTTCTGAAGGTCAGTGACGGGGAAACACTAGACCCCACCCGGCACCCGGCACTGATGACGGGCGTACCCCACCCTCGCTGGGTGGGGCTGGGCCCCCGGCCCCCCCAGGCAGGCCCCAGGGCCCAGCTCAGGAGAGATGGGAAGAAGGTGCCTTATCCCTGGGGGGGAGGGCTGACCACTGTCCCCCTCCCGAGGTTAGGTGACAAGGAACCGCTGGGCAGAACTTGAACTTGAACCCACTCCCTGCTCAGGTTCAACCGGAAGAAACCCAGCACAGTACTCCCTGATCGCTCATCATAAATTTCCAGGTTTGCTTGGAGACTTTTCTCCACGGCACTGAGACAATCCCTTTCCAACAGCTGAAAATGTTTATTTGCGTGTTTTAAGATTAGGGCCATAGCATTGCCATGAAGGGAACCCCGACAGCACCCTGTGTCACCCCCAAACACGTGTGCAGCACCCGCACCACATCTATGGCAACTCCGATGGGTGAGCCGAGGGGGGCAGGTCCCCGGCTGCTGCTCTGCCCAGAGTCCAGCTCTTGCCCAGCTCAAGGCCCATAATGCAGCTCGAGGTACACGATGTGATGCATGTACCCCAGCCCAGGAGTGAGAGGAAGACTAGACGGAATTTCAGAAGTGGGGGGACTCCCGGGCAAGTGCTGCTTGGAGCCTGAAGTGGGAAGAGGGACAGGATAGCGCCCCCTCCCCCCGGCACGTGCCCGTGTCTGCAGGGTGGTCCCCTCAGGGTGCACGCAGGGCCCGGGCGCCAGAAGTGGTTCCAGCACCTGGTACAGAACCAGGGACCCAGCATTTCCCACCAATTTCCCACCCAACCCGGAGTCAGCTATGGGGTTTTTTCCTAAGATCTTATTGATTTATTTGTAAAGCCAGGGGAAGGGAGGGAGAAAGAGGGGGAGGGAAACATCCATGTGTGGTTGCCTCCTGCATGCCCCCTCTACTGAGAACCTGACCCACAACCCAGCCCTGTGCCCTGACCGGGAATCGAACTGGTGACCCTTCAGTTCTCAGGCCAGCACTCAATCCACTGAGCCACACCAGCAGGGCAGAAGTCAGCTAGTGTGTTTTCACTCTGTCTATTAACCAGGCATCCACGTAAGTACACACTAAATAACCTGGTCAAGCAAAAAGGAAACAATGATGATCACAAACATTAAGCATTATCACAGCAATTCTATACGTGTGGTACCTTACGGCTATGGCAAGGGTCCATTTCTACCCAGCACTGCAAAACGAAATGCACCCAAAACATGTACCAGGCAACAACAGAGTACTCTGTGTCGAGGCTGCTTTCAGTCTTTGCACATTGTAGCTAAACACCAGCCTCTGCAACATCGCCGTCGCGTCTGCTGGCAACTTACTCTCTTCTATGAGGGGCGGAGCGTGTTAAAATGACGGGAACCTCACAACATTCAACTCATCCAAAGTTTCGGCTGTCCGAGCCAAAAGCAATGCAGCTCACACCGCTCCTACCCTCACGCCGCGTGAATTCATCCAAACGGGACGACGCCGGCCCCCGGGATTTCGTCAGTCCCTGCCTTGCATCTCATGGCACGCAGACAAAGTGAAAGAGGGCGACCGGTTAACTTTACTGAAAGGACGTGGAAGGCAAGGCCGGCGGGCCCTGCGACGGGTGCGCGCTCCGCCTGCGGGGACGAGAATGTAACTGTGTTTGCGGTAGAACGGGAGGGAGGGCGTCGCGGCCGAGAGCGCTGCCGGTCTGCAGATGAATCGCGGGGCCTCCTTCGGAGCCGCGCAATTCGATACACTACCCTGGAGGGAGGTGTCACCGGTGTTCCCGGAGCCCCTGTGTGACGATGAGCCTGTCTGGGCCCTCGGGGCAGCACAGGTGCGCGTCCGGCTCTGAAGGCGCTGCTGAGCCGTGGACTCCTGAGTCCGCCGCCGCCCCAGGCACCGGGTCCCACAACATCCGCACAGGCGAGCCCGGAGTGGTCACGCTGATCACGTCACACCTTCCAGAACGCCCCGAGCTTCAGTGGGCCCGTCGGGTCACAAGAACACCCCTCCGTCAGGCCCTTCGCAGCTGCAGGCACGACCTCGGCCAGCTCCCCGAAGGCCTGGGATTTGAACTTGCGGCACACCTGTTCGACGGCAGGCCGATGGGATGGACTCCGTCGTGATCGCTGGGTTCGCACCAGCACGCATGTGGTGTCGGGCGCCTTCCCGCGCTCGGGCCTGCCCGGGGCTCCGAGCGAGGTGCACCGTGTGTGTGTGTGTGTGTGTGTGTGGGCGCGTGCGGGCGCGTGTGTGTGTGTGCGCGTGCGGGCGCGTGCGACCCTGCAGCTGCGCCACGGCCCTCGCTGGCCCCGCGCTTCGGCGGGCAGGGCTGTTCCCACTGCTCCCCCCCCCGCCCCGAGAATCACGGGATGGGGAGGTGCCTTATTACCGTCTGGCTGCGCGGCCTCATTGCGGGGCTCTGAGGCGCAGGGACTGCGGACGACTCGCCCGAGGTGCGGCGTTCGGAACCGGCGGCATTCGCCGAGGGCTCGTGTGCGGCGGCAGCCCGGTCCTCTCCCCGCTCTGCAGCCCCAACTGTCCTCCACCCCGCCCCCCCTCCGCCCCACTGGCTCCTGCAGGGTCTCGGTCACCCTGGTCACCCTGGTCACCCTGGTCACCCTGGTCGGGAGGAGTCAGAGCGAGAACGGTCCCGGAGAGATGAGGAGCTCAGGCCCCACTTGACGTAAGAACTTCCCCGGAGTGGGCCTGTCTGCAAGGGAACTGGCAAAGGGGTCGCTGACGCGTCCTTCTGCGCCGGGCGCTTGACCAGTGGGCACCCCCCGGGGTCCGCCTGCCCCCAGCTCCAGGCTCAGCCGCCCGTGCCGGGCTCTTCCTGCACCCGCTGGAGACGGGAGCTGAAGGAGCCCCAGGATCCCCCCGCACCCCCCCCCATGCGCAGGCGTCCGGACGGAAGCCACTCGCGCCCCAGGCAGACGGGGCCGCCCCGGCGGGCAGGCTCACCGTGGCGTTTTCATGCGCAGTTGACTCCGCACAAACTGATTGACACCTCTGGGGGTCGTCTTTCCACGGACGCATCGTTTTCCTCATTCTTCAAGAACGTTTCTGTACACCCAGGGTTCTCCGGTGAAAGCTGAAAATTCAACTCATCATATTTACACACTAAAAACAAAACCCTTTCTGCCTTGTTTTTAATTGCAAATCCCCCACCGGGGAGCAGCCCGCCGGCGCGGGGGCGGCCCCGAGCCTTCTCCTAGACAGGCGAGCGCAGTCAATTATGGTAATGAAATGTCAATAAATATAAAAATTTCATGCAGCCCGCTCCAGCTGACTGGCACAGGAGCCCTCGCCTCCCAGACAGATTTGCTGCTTCTGCAATATTAAATGCACCTGAAAGAGGCGTGTGCCCCAGAGCGCCTCGGCGAAAACGGGGGGGGGGGCCGCCAGGTACTGGCTGGGCTTCCCCGTCAGACGGTAATTGGTCACTGACAACCACCCCGACATCTTATTATTAGACAAGGAACCTCCTGCGTCTCCGAGAATAATCCCAGCTTGGTGCGTCGCGGCACCGGTTCTGACGGAAAAGGATGTGAGCCCTTTTTTGTGTTGCGTTCTCAGTCCAGAAACTCTTCTTATAAGCAAGGCCCTGGCTGTCTCTGGGGAGAAATGTATCCGTAATCACATGGCCACAGTCGCTGTAGCTTTGCTGGGCCCTGGCAAGCTACGCAACAATGTAACTGGGACGCTTTCAGCACCCACAAACACGCGACCTCGACCTCGGAGGAGGTCTTTGAAACATAGTCTCTGAACAGAAAGCTATTTCTGCCTCCCTGTCCCCCCACCTCCCCCGGCTCACTCACACCACCACTGTGTGCTCAGAGAACTCTGTGTTGAATGAACTCAGCTTTTGTGGACAGTGTCTTTCTCTTCGAACTTGTTCATGAGAGGTAGCGCCTTAATCTTGTGAGATAATGCAATTTCACAATGGAAAGGGGATATATATACATGTGTGTAATTGAGTCAAAAACTATTCCCTACAAAGCTATCGAAATAATTAGACCTATCAGACTAATTGCGCTGCCTTTTCCAATACGAGAGTGTGTCTTCGGCCCCTCGTCTGGGGAAAGCCACCTGGTACGAGTGTGTACCGCGCGTGGGAAAGGGCTCAGGCGAACTGCGCCTCTCTGAGCGCGATGGTCACCGGCCCGTCGTTCTGCGTTGCAGGTGGATTACGCCATGATAGCGTCGCAGGCGGGGGCCACCCTGAGCAACCTCATGAGCCACGCGCAGGAGCTGGTGGCGAAGCTGCGCTCCCTCCAGCTGGACCAGCGGGAGTTCGTGTGTCTGAAATTCCTGGTGCTCTTCAGCTTAGGTAAGAAACCTCGTTCTCCGGACCGCGTCCCGCCGCACGCCACGGCGGGCGGCCGAGCTCCGAGTGTCTTCAGTGCCGTGCGTGTTTTTGTTCTGTCAAGGTCACGCCCTTCCTTCCCCATCGTCAAACCTCCCAATGCGACCAGGACGCCGCGGTGGGCAGGCTGGGGTGTGGACGAGGAGTTATGAGACCGGGGTCCTGAATGTCCTTCCTTAGTGGTCACAGTGAGGAGGTGGCAGTCACAGGAAGCTGTGACAGAAGGTTTAATGGAGACAGTTTGGGAAGGAGAGATGACATCGAGTTCTAGCCATCTTTCTGCCATTTGTTTTTGGATTGTCTCTGTGCATCTTTCGTTGTAGCTGGCTACCTGCTGCTGTGTTTGTTCTTGTCAAAATGGATGGTAATTAGGAGCCTGCGTCTTCGGCCTCCGTCAGGATGGACTAGAGAGTGCTCAAGCCCAGAGGGGCCACTAAGCACGTGCAGAAGGTGGCAGTTGTCGGGGGAGGGACGCGCCGTTCGGAGAGCTTTGGAGGAGAAAGATAACAGAGCAAGACAGATTAGCCAAATCAAGGTTCTCGGTGAGTCAGATGAGAAAAATCACCACTCCTTGCAATAAAAAAAGGATTAAGGAGATGGATTTTTATTGACTTCAAAGGAACAGATTTTTCTGCCTGTCCGAGACTTGATTTCTGCACTTTGTTGGCTTAATAAAGCCAACTTAAATAAACTTTTTGCCAAGTCCATTTATTACTTATTGGCAGGCGGCTGAGGGAGGCAACTTCCCTTGAATGAAAAAATGCAGAAATCAGATTTACCAACATATGTTTTTTCTTTAGCCTTCAGCTCTAAGATAGCTGTGGATTCATATCCCAAGAAATAAAATAAAACAAACTCAGAAGTAAAACAGATGTGTCCACTCTCCGAATTGGGCGCCTCGGTTCGAAAATTCCTCTTGACATCGCCGCACAACTGTTGCTAATAAAAGCCCAGTTTGAAGTAATAGAACCAGAGTTAATTTTTCACATGTAGTCAACATTTAAAGTAGAAGGAACATTTTTATATTTTGGAAAATGTGATAAATGCAGAGGAGAGAGATGTTACTGAAAATGTAAAAGGACAACAGAATTTCATAGATGTGGTGTTCAAAGGTTTCCCTTGCCGGGGTTGAATCCTGTGTGGTTTCTCCGCGAACCACAAGAAATGGGACGGGTCTAGCCGGGGAACTCGCCGTGCTCTACCCAAGAACAGATTCTAGAGAAACCGAGAGGATGCGAGCATAGGCCTGTTGGCTGTGATCACACAGAATATTCTGGGTTACCTGGGTTATGGCGAGATACTCGTCTCTTCGCCTTGTGCATTTGCGTCTCTGGGGAAGAAATCTCACAGCATCTCCGTGGTAAAATGCTTAGTCGTCTCGTGTGAGTGGTGCCTTGCATTAGTTGGATCACTGCATTACGTTCGAAGAAGTAGGGATGAATCATGACTGGGTTTGGTTTTCATCACTTTTATCTCTGCTTCATCGTTTCTTCAAAATTGTTATATTCTCTGCCAATGCCACAGAATGGGGGAAGTGTTGAGCCTCATGCATGACCTTCTGGAGCAATGGGGCCATGTACCTACCGTCCCTCCTCCCGTTGAATGAATGTACCTACCGTCCCTTCCCCAGTTGAACGAATGTGCCCACCACCCTCCTCCTCGCTAACGCATGCGACCGTCTCAGCAGCCTAGGCACCAGGGATGAGCAGCCTGGAAGCCCCTTAAAGCCCTGCCTAGTGTTTAAAGAAGGAAGGGAAGCGTGGCTTCCAGAGCAGAGCTAAATAGTTTTGGCCAAGAGTTTGTTGTTGAAGAAGCAGATACAACATAACAGGAAGTAACATTTGAGTAGTTCCCAGTTTATGAAGGGAAGGCTTCCCCCGCAACAGAAACAACAAATAATCATCAATCTCGGCATCGGAGGGGCACCTTGGTTGGAGTACATGGGCGCTGAGCCCCCACGTCCCTGGGCTAGCCCGCAAGTGGCTGCTTTACCTCGAAAGCCGAGCCCAGGTCCAAAGCCAGGATCTGCTGTCCCCACACCCTCCTGAACCTTGCTCCCCAAGTCTGGAGCCCAAAATGCCGTGATCCCCGCCCAGCCCCTATGACCTGGAAGGCAAATGAGGCTTTCACTGACTCCTCAGGGGCCGCCGGGGCAGGGGTGTGAGGGGGCTGCACAGCACCCCCCACCCCGGTGAGAGATGAAGGTGGTAGATTTGGCGAGAGGAGATAGGGCGTGAGCTGTGCAGGTGCGGTCAGATTCCCGCCCTGTGTCCCCCCCAAAACAAGCAGAGCTGGGGGGCAGCCCCCGGGTTCCTATTGCAGCCCCTGAACCCGCTGTCCCGACTCGAGCAGGTCGGGGACATCGCTGTGGCCCAGGTGCCCAGAGAGACCGGACTTGGCCAACCCAGTTGTTCCTCTGGCCGTCGGGTCTTCCTAGCCTGCGGACTCGACGGCTGGACGCCGCTGGGCTCTCGCGTGTCCCAGGCGGCAAAAGACAGCCCCGGGGGGCCTGTCACATCCTGCGTCCCCGGTGAACAGCGGCCTTGACCCGCTGTGAGTCACTGTCTTTCCCGGCCAGCCAGGACCCCGGGGGCACCTCCTCATCCTCGGTCAGGTCAAGGAGAAGGTTACCGAGATGGCTCTCCTCGCCGAGGGCTTCCCCAGCCCGAGACGCGGCTCTCGCTCTGGGCCAAGTCGCCGGCGGTGGGCGGACTCCACGCGGCCCTCCGAGCGCTTCCGGGCAGGACCCGTCCCGCCTGCGCCTCGCTCCGTGGACCCCGAGCTGCCCGCACCGTGCTGGGCGCTCGCTCGCCCGGGCCCTCGGGAAATGCCGCGGAGAAGGCAGAGGCACGGGTGGCCCCATTTCGTTGTAAACTCGGAGCAAGGCCGTCCCCCAAGTCGTCTGTGACACGCAGCCGGGGACGGTTCGGCCAGCAAGGCCTATAGTGGAGTGCGGGTCAGTTTCGTGGGGCTGGCTTCCCCGGACGGCCCCCACCGGATTCCCCCTCAGCGCTGCACCATCCAGCTGCCGGTCCGCGGTCCCGCCGTGTGCGAGGTGGGGGCGCTCACGCACGCACGTGCTCGCTCGCTCTGTGGGAAGGCCGGTGTGCCGGAGGACCAGAGCGCCTTCACGGCTGAACCTGCACAGTCGGCGCGCGGCTGTCCCGGCCGACGCAAGCCCCCCGGCTCACTGGGGTGGGCGGGGTCCCGAGAGCCGACGCCCCGGGCACACCGTCGTGCCAGGCTTGGGGCGGCCTCGCCTGCGGAGGTCGCAACGTTAGGTGCCCTCCTCAGACTGCCACCCGGTCCCCTGGGCAGCACGCACGGGCGAAGCTGGCTTTGGGACAGCCCTGCCCCGTAACCACAGTTCGCCGTGATTACGCTGCACACACTCACGCACGCTCACAGCTCGCGAGCACACACATCCCACGTGCTCTCCACGTCGAGGGGCAGCGAACGTCCACCCCACGCCTCCCGCCAGGTGCGTCGGCTCCCCGTGAGGCCAGGTGGGCGACGCCGACCCCCCGGGCTCTTCTCCCCACCCGCCCCCGTCTCCCTTTCCACCGTCTCCCGAGGGGCGTCCTGATTCAGAAAAACGCTCACTCGACGCGGGTCAGACCACTGCCCCGGCGCCCGCAGCAGCGGCTGGCCGACGGGCGCGGGGCTGGCCGAAACCCCTCCCGCCGCCGGCCGCCGCAGCGGGCAGTCAGGGGCATTGATCAGCAGCCCGGCGAGGCCGCCGCTCAATACTCACACCGCCGCGCGCCGGCCGGGGCGAACAGCAGCACATAAAGTTGACGCGTGTCTTAATTAAATGCATTGCGCTGGGTGCTGTGTGGGGTTTTTCCTTCCGTGCAGTGCAAGGAGCACTTGGGCGAGGACCGGAGATAATTCATTTTGGAGTTCTAAGTTTGAGCTTAATCAATATGTACTTACAGCCACAGGAGAAGGGACGGCCGTTTCTTATCTGCCGGCCCAGGAATATAATTGCCTGAATAGCCCTTATTCAGGCATATTTCTGGAGAGCGCGTACTTGGGAACGTTTATTACTTGGAGGGTGTTAATACTCCCAGTGTCATCGCACTAACGGCTGCCGTGGAGGGAGGCGAGGCCTCGGAGACGGGCGGGTCTCTCCTCCCGCTGCCTCAGAAGCGGTGTCCCTGGTTCCGGCGGCCCCGAACCCACTGCTGTCCTCACCTCCCCGCCGGAGCCCGGATGGCTAACCTGGTCGGCCCGGATCCCGTAGGCTGGCTCGCTCCGGGCCTCAGGAATGTTCCAGAACAGGCTCGATGCACCCATGACTCACAGCTGAGTCACCCGTCTGCCCCTCTCCACCCTCCCGAGAATGCCCGGCAAGCCCAGGCTGGCGCCCGCGTTCCGTGTGGTTCAGAGGGTCGCATTCCAGGCAGACCGGCTCGGGCCGCCCTGGACGCTAATGGCCTTCGTCCCTTTGAAAGATGAAGCTTCATAGACAGACCCAACAGGCAAAACCGTTGCAGTGGGCGCCATGAGCACCGGCAGCCTGCGGTCTGCCCTGGGGGGGTCCCCCTTGGTGGGGCTGAACGGCGCTGTGGACCCCGGGGACGTTGTTCTGAGGCGGGCACAGCGCAGCCAGCCGCCGGCCACGCCCCCGCATGGCGTCCTGCTGTCGTCCCCCCCCCCACCCGGGCCCAGCCGTGCCCCTGCCCCCCACGAGAGGCGGGCGTCGGGCCTCTGTCCTGAGCGGAACCTCCTTCTCGGGTCACACAGACTGTACTGGGGCAAGAGCAGAGCTGGGAAACTGGGCGCAGGGTCACCTCCAGGGGCCTCAGCGGGAACCCCTGTCCCCAACCCCCCACCCTGAGCTCCCCGATTGTTAACAGAGACTCTGGCCTCAGCCCTGAAGGGACAGCGAACCCCAGAACCTTAGAGAGGGGCCTGTGCTGCGGCCAGGTCCACCCCCTCGGGTTGGAAAAGTGGGTGAA